GGTTGTCCGTCCCCCAGGGAGGAGGTCACACACAGTTCCATGTAATCGGTTCCCTCTTTCCTACCCATTCTCCCTTTACCCTCCCTGTTCTATTATCTATCTTTTAATTCCATTTTCCCACAAACTTTTTGAAGCACCCATTGTGTCTCTTATTGTGAAGCAAGTAGTAGTAGGGCGTAACGCGGCGCTCTGGCGGTGCAGTGGATGGCGTTATGCCTGATGGTCAGCAGTTTGAACGCCCCAGCTGCTCAGAGGGAGAAAGAGGAGGCTTTCTCCTCTCATGAAGATCGACAGTCTCGGAAACCCAAAGGGGCTACCCTATCCCGTAATTAGTCAGAATTGACTTGAGGGCAGTGAGTTGCTGGTGAAGTATATGTAACATAGAGGTGGTGTTGGGGTTTAATTCTCAGTTTGGGCAAGATTCAAGTTGGTAATTATTTATGGAGGTTTGGTTGAGCAGATGTGATTTACCCTTCGAGAATTACCGAAGCAGCGTGGGTTGAGTTTTTACCATTCAGACCTGCTGAAATTGCCCTAGGGTGAAATAAGTGATTTGAGGGTTGTACCTTGGTCTGGAATGCTTTCTTTCTGCACACCCAAGAGGCAAAGGAAAATATTTTCTAGGGTTGTCATGGTTATGACATCCATATTTGAATTTGTCTTGGGATTGCACGCTGGTAACACAGCTGTCTCTTGTGTTTCAGGCTTATTGGAGACAAAGTTTATCAGGGTGAAATCACAGAGAAAGAGAAGAAAAATAGCAACAGGGTAAAACAGGGAATGAATCAAACCAAAGAAGAGAACCGGTAAGTACCATTTAATTAAGGAATTAAAAATTCATCTCAGCAAAGGAGAAAACTTTCTACCCCATTTGCCTGTTCATCTCTTTCTGGTCCATTCCTCCACGTACTTAATTCTTTTTAATGTTTTATCAAAGTAATCAATATACCTGGTTAGCAATATCAGAGATAAGGATTTATAATAAAAAGGAGCATTTTACCTCTCTTATATTCCAGTTCTTACTTTCTGGAAACAATACCAATTTCCTCATGTTTTCTTTTTTTTTGTAGTTACAGCCCTAGTTCTAATTATTATTATAGTTTTGCTTTTTTTCTGTCTTTAAAAAAACTGGCTTATTTGGATGTTAAAAGAAAATCAAATAAATAAATTGTATTTATTTTGTTGTTGAGGATATGGACAACAGAATATACACTAATTCAACAGTTTCTACATACATCATTTAGCCACACTGATTACAGCCTGAGCGGTGCCTCCTCTTGAGCTGGTCCTCCCCGAGGTACATACACTCCCCGTCCCCTAAGGCAGCTACATAGTCTTTTGAGTTGCTGTTGCCGACAAGATCCCAAACACATAGTTCTTAAAAAAACACAAGGCTGTTCTTGAAAGAGCACAATGTGCACAGCAGTTTTTTACGAGTTCAGCTAAACTACTGTTTGGTTTTTAAAAAGACGTCAGTGGCTGTTTTGGTTTAAGGCTCAAAGATTATCTCTGGGCATTCGTTTCAGGTGTTCCTCCGAACGTCCTGGGTTTAGAAAGTCTGGGTTCTTGAGAATTTGAAATTCGATTCTGCAAGTTTCCTCCTTGTGATCAGGATTCTCCTGTGAAATCTTTGATCAAAATGTTGAGTGATGGTAGCTGGCCACCATCCATTTCTTCTGGTCTCTTGACAAAGGAGGCAGTTGGTCATGGAGGCAATTTGCCTCTTTTCCCTGCTTCTGTTGTTTCAGGCAAACAGAAATGGGTTACGCCTTGCATAGCTGTTTACAAACTTTTAAGACCCCAGACATTACACGTAGACCTGGGAGGTAGAACAGAAGCACTAAACATGTTAAGGGGATGACTCTGCAACCACGAGCCTATGCCTCCAAACCAGGAAGCCAAATCCTGTGAGGTTTTTGGTTGGGCATAAGTCTCCTCAATAGCTTTTTTCTGCTGTTGTAAATTTGAGCTGTCATACAGCCTTTGCCAATTCAATTTTTTATAAATGTATGAGGTGGCAATTACAATAATTGTTTCTGAAGCCTTACTCTTCATGTAACATTTCTCCCCTGTTAGCCCAGTTCTTCCCCTTCCTTTCTATTCCTGGTAGCCACCAATAAACGTTGTTCCTTATATATTTTATGCATTTGACTTGTCTTGTGTTTTTATGTAAGTCAGGTCATACAGTATTTGTTTTTTTTGTGTGTGATTGACTTATTTCATTCAGCCTAATGTCTTTCAGCTCTAGGCACACTGTAGCATGCATCAAGATTTCATTTCTCCTAATGGCTGAAGTGTATTCCATGTATGCACATAACACATTGTGTTTGTTGACTCATCTGTGGATGGCAGTTAGGTTGCTCCCACCTTTGGGTTATTGTGAATAATGCCACAATGAACCTCGGTGTGCCTATCTCTGACTATCTGCTCTCAAGTCTTCTGCATATATACCTAGGAGTCAATTTGCTGAGTCATAGGAGTCAAATTGCTGCTACCTGTCACTTTGTTATACTTTGGTGGCTTGTGTGCTGCGGGAGCTATGTTACTGGTATTTTAGATATCAGCAGGGTCACCCAGGTAGACAGGTTTCCGTGGAACTTGCAGACGAAGACTAGGAAGGAGGGCCTGGTGATCTACTTCCGAAAAAATTGACCCATGAACATCTTAAAAAAAGCAGCGGATATAAGTCTGAAGGATGCGTAGCTCAGGTTGGAAGGCATTTGTGGTGACAGAGTAGACCTGTGTGTCACAGTAGATCTGAGCATCATGGGGTTTCCATGGTTTCTCTTTGGGAAGTAGATCACCAGATCTTGCTTCTGAGTCACTTCTGGCTGAACTCAAACGATCAATCTTTGGTTAGCAGTAAGTGCATTAAACACTGTATGCACTGTATGCACTGCCGAATCCTATAATGAATCTGTCATGTCCTTTGATGACCTGCTCCTTGGTTCTTTTGCTATATGACCTCTCTTGCTGCAGCAGGTTATTAAATGTAACCTTGGACTTGAGGTGTGTCCCAAATGGTCTATATCAGGGTTATCATTTCTTATAATTCCTAAACCATTTGGAATCATTCTACTCTTCAGTTCTCTCTGGAACCATAACACACACATTTGTTGTTCCTAGAGTTTCGGAGTATCTTTTTTTCTTACAAAAAGAAATGTATTTTTTCATTATTTTATCTATCAGGACATAGAACTCATTTAAAATGATGCCAGAATGAACTATGACTAAATTTGGTCAAGTCATGATAACGATGTCACCACTGACGCCTGGCCCACAACCATTGTTAAGACATTGCTGGTTGGGAGACCTATCTTTATTTCAGAGCTGTTAAAATGTGGGGAAACGAGTTACTCAAGACGCATGAAATGCTCTCCTTGCATTTAGCCTTGCTATACAACTGTTCACCTGGGATTTCTTTTGACTGTACTTCTGGTTTGGTTTTATTATTTCTGGCATTTCACTTTTTCTTTTTTCTCGCTTTTCGCCATCACTGTATTGGAGTATATTCTAAAGTAACTTTCTCAGAAGAGGGATATGAGAAGTAAACTTTTGGAAGTGTTGATTAATCCTTTGATCTGGTATGGAACTTTGGGTTCAAAATAAATTTCCTTCAGACTGCTGGTGGTTTTGAACTGCCAACCATATGGACCTATGGATCACAGCCCAACACATAACCACTGCACCACCAGGGCTCCATTTGTTCTGTTTAAGACTTAATGAAGGGGTCTTTATAAATATATATTTGAGGGAGAGGGGAGAGGGGAGGGAGGGGGTAAAATGAGGACCTGATGCCAGGGGCTTAAGTGGAGAGCAAATGTTTTGAGAATGAAGAGGGCAATGAGTGTACAAATGTGCTTTACACAATTGATGTATGTATGGATTGTGATAAGAGTTGTATGAGCCCCTAATAAAACATTAAAAAATAAAAAAAAATATTTGAATTGGGGTTCTTTTCCTCCTGAAACACTTCCCAATGCTAACTTTTCTTTTCACGCTACCACGCTTGCTGGTCTTCCTGAGAGACAGGTTATCGGGAAGATAGTGCCCTGAGGATCCCTGAGGGAACTGGGGCTTGCTGTTACCTGGCCAATACTCAGTGGTTCCATTTTCCTCCTTGCAGGGAGAAGGGGACGGAACTGTTCAGAGCGTCTTTAGTGGTTCCCAGCAAGGACAAAGCTGTCTTCCTCTTAAGTTATGAAGAGCTTTTGCAGAGACGGCTGGGGAAGTATGAGCATGTCATCAGCGTTCGACCCCAGCAGCTGGTTGGCAGGCTTACTGTGGAAGTGAATGTTCTGGAGCAGTCCGGCATTGCTTCGCTGGAGGTGCCTCCCCTGCGCAACAGCAGGCAGAAGGGCAGTGGGACGGCGGAAGGTAGGTGGTGCTTGCTGGAGAGTCTCAGCTCTACCGTGAGAACTCAGGGCAGGTTGTTGGGTTTAGAGAAATCTATAAAAGAGGTGTCATCCCCTCAACGAAAGGTCTGAATTTTGTCAGGGTTGAAACACAGCAACCAAACAAAGACTCCTGAAGAGCCTGGCTCTATCACAAGGTTCTAAAATGTTTACAGCATTTGATTCAGAGTTCTACTTAGGGGATTATAGGACCGTTTTATGAAAATCTCTTAAACATTCAGCAATATGTTATAGTCGCTCTAAAATAACATAACAAATGACACTGTAAATTTGACTTGAGATGTAGCACGTTGGTTCATTAGCAAGGCCATTGAGTTTAGGTTTTTCTCCAATTCTAATTTTAAAAGTCACATCCCATTTGTTGAAATTATCATGAAGAATAAATATAATTAATTTTAATCATTATTTTTATTTCAGCCAATAGCTTATATTAAATATTTACTCGAAGTGGGCTCTATGCCAGGCAGCAAATATACCAGTTAAGCTTCATGTCAAATTGGATAACGAGACAGATATGTCAAAACACTGCACCCAGATGGGGATGACATGATTTCAGGTAATTGTGACACGGAGTTCAGGGAAATGCTAAGTGAATGTGAAGAACCTTCAACTCAATCCCTGGGATTTGCCAGGAAAATCTAGAGTGGCCCCACAGGCTTCTGGGACCTGAACATTTAGGAGTGAGATTTGAAGGCGAGCAAGGAAATGGCTTGATAAATGGATTAATCGAATATTCGTATTGAACATAATAAAATCATAGTCAAGGCCTGCAGGTGGTATAGAAGAGGAAACAATATGAGAAAGATGCTTTCCTCAACCGAGGACAGAGTTTAGTTAATGACTTTAGTTTGTTTATTATCAAGGACTGGCGTTTGTGTTCTGTGTTAGACCTGGTTCTGGGTCAGACGGAGGTCCCCCATTGTGTGAGTCCAAATATTGGTGCTCTCATGTCAAATCTACTAGGAAAATTCAAGATTTTGTCAAGGTATCTGATGTTCTGAGATGGCAGGAGATCTGCTACACCATTCTTTTTTTTTTTTCTTAAAAAACCCACATTTTATTTGGACATAATCCAGACATCATGCCATTCAATGGTTCAGTCCTCTGAAGAAGTGTTGTGCAATCGCTCTACAATACGTTTCCAGACATTTTCTCCCTTCTGTACTCCTTGATATGAGATTCCCATGACCTCTCCCTCTCCTCTGCTGTACCCCGCAGGAAATCCTGAATCTAGTTACTGTCTGTAGAGACTCATCCATCCTGGTGTCATATCCTAAAAACATAGGAAAAAACCATAACAGAGCGTCAAAAGGCAACCATCAATCACAAAACACAATGGAGATAAACCCCAGATTGAAAAAAAAAATCAGAAAATATTAAAACCCAGATCAAGTTCAAAGGCTACACTTTTATGGTATGGTGGTGGCCAGAGGTCTGGGTAAGGGATGTTGGTTCAGGTATTAACAAAAGTGGGTGAAGGGAGACGTCGGACAGGGCAAGATATGACAAAATACTAATTTATAAATTATCAAGGGCTCATGAGGGAGAGGGGAGCAGGGAGGTAGGGGAAAAATGAGGAGCTGATGCCGGGGGCTTAAGTGGAGAGCAAATGTTTTGAGAATGATGAGGGCAATGAATGAACAAATGCGCTTTACACAATTGATGTGTGTATGGATTGTGAAAAGAGTTGTATGAACCCCTAATAAAATGATTTTAAAAAAACCCCAACAAACAAACAAACAAAAAGAACAGGTACAAAATTCCAACTCCTATTCCCCCTTCTTTCTACGTGC